GCACAGCACGTACCCTCTGTTGGGCTGTCTGAGAACAACGCTGACTTATCCCACAGCAGCTTTTGGAGGACCAGCTCAATTTTGGTAAAACACATTAAGATTCTTGGGTGGGAAAGGCAGAGCTGGCTGCTGTGGGTGTCTGGCTGAATGTCAGGGTTTCCTGCTGGAGTCAGAGTCTCTGTGGTGAAGTCACACCAAGTGCCACTGGGTCATCATGAACAGTCCTGGTAGAGACTGGCTCTTTTCTACTGGTTTTCAGAGCTTGGTTCGGGTGTCCCGCTGATCTCTGTGTCCTTCCCCTCCCCATGCAAGAAAAGCTTTTAGCACCCAAATGCTGCCCTTCCCTTCTTGCTCTGCCCCTGCCTCACAGGAGACTAGGTGGGGGATTCACTGCCCTTGTGCTTTGGTGTCTCTGAATCCTCTTTCCCCAGTGCTGGGGCTTATCTGGAAAGAGGAACCCGCTCTGCTCCACTCACCCTGAATGGGATCCAGCAACCATTCTCCTTCAAGCTCAGCCCAGGGAGCTGCTGGGGCAGCACTGGTGAATGAAACCAGCTGAAATCTTGCAGTGGGAACTAGCAAGAGGCTCAAACTTTGGCTCTTCCCCTTCCTATTTCCTCAACCAGACCTCAAATTAACCAGTGTCTGATGAATGTGCTCTCCCACCCGGGACAGAGCACTTTGGCTCAGACCTGATCCTCTTTTCTCTCTACCATGGTGTCCAGTGGGCAGCGTTTAAATGGTTGCTGTGTACCCCCAGTGCTGGGTTGTGGTTTGGGGCACTGCAGAACCTCCCTGCCCCAGCTCTGTGGGGTGGTGAGCTGGATCTCCAGGTCTTCTGTCTCCTGCAAGTGCTGGTTAGGCTCCAGAAAGAAAACCTTGTGTCCTTCTCCTGCTCCAGGGGAGGGGCAAGCAGGGGGCTACCCTGTGCACAGACACAGCCTCTTTCTGCTTCCTCATTGCCCGCCCCAGAGCATCCTCCCCTTGTCACCCGGGCTAGGGAAGGGGATGTGACTAGGGAAGGGGATGTGACGGGTGTTGGGTGCTGGAACAGCCTGTCCTGTTCTCTCCGGGGTGGAAGAGGCCCACGGGTATGTGGAGAGGGCGGTTGAGACACTGACGTGCTGTTGCTACCATAGTCCTTGTGATCGACTCAGGAATTCCAAATATTTCCTCTCAGATAAAGGTGACTGGAGGAGGCCAGAAATATCTGGACGTGTCTGGGCAAGCCTGAGATCCCAAACACCAGACCAGAGAGGTCAGGATCGGTACTGGTAGTGCTGGGCTTCAGGTGCAGAGCAGCCCAGGCCTGGGTGCTGTGGGAACGGAGCAGGCTGCCTTTCCCTAACCTTCAGCCCGGGAGGGAGGACGCTCCTGCCTGTTTTCCCACTCCCCCTGTTCTGGGATTGTCATTCCCAGGGAGCACATCTGGGATTGCAGTTGTGCAGGGGCTGAGCCATCACTGCTCCCAGGGACAGTTTCCCTGCGGAAGGGGCCGTGTCCCCGCAGCTGCAGCCCCATTCCCAGGGGAAGGAGAGGGGCTCTTGTCCTGCTCTTCTCCGTCTGTAGCAGCCGATAGCTCTCGGTTCACCGTGTGCCATTTATCTCTTGTTCAGCAAACACTTCCTTTTCTTAGAAGTACGGGCTTCAAACATGCTTCTTGGAACTGCCTTTCCCCAAGCTCGGCGGTTCATGCCGTGGAGGGGCAGCATGGAGGGTGGGCCTGTGCAGCCTCCTCCCTCCTGAGCATTCCTGGGTTCTGTGTCCAAGGGCAGGACTTTCCTGGGGCCGGGGCCCTGGAGCAGAGGGATGTTATAGGGGGTGGAGGCATTCCACAGGTGCGTTTGGACAAGCCTGTGCCTTCTGCCCCACTTCCCCCATGCCCTCCATCCCCACCAGCCTGCTCTGCTGCCACTTACTGTGCTCTGCGCCACCTGTCACCAGAGGGATTTCCTGTGCCCTAATTCAAAATATCCCCTCCTTGGGCCCAGGCTGTCCTGCAGCACATCGCTGGCTGTTCCTGTGGCTGTCACCCTGGGCGAGTGGCCGGGCAGGGGGGCTGGCAGTGGGCAGCAGCCCCCACTGGTGTCCCTGGATGGCACCTGAGTGTCAGAGGATGGCACATGCAGGGCTGGGATGTGGTACAGCACCTCCACAGAGCCTGTGCCAGCTGGCAGGCCTGGTGGGAAGTGAGCTGCCTTCTGCTGCTCTGTGTGGGTGGTGGGAGTCACAGGGATGGTTGTCACATCCCTGAATGTGACTCTGAGTAAGTTTGCAGCAATGACGTGCCCCAGGATGAGTTAGCTGGAGATGGTGTTTGGTGGAAGGCAGAGAAGAGCTTTGGTGGGGCTGAGGTGCACAGCTCACCTGGATGGTTGTTAAAGTACCTGATCCCTCACTGAGGAGGATGGTGCCAGGGAGAGGGGCATAGCCCAGGCCCTAGAGCCCCTGCAGGTCCTGTGCCAGTGATCGCAGCTCCTCCCAGGCTGTGGGCAGGCGTGGGAGGCATCGTGGAGGCAGAGCTGCCAGACCCAGGCAGGCAGGGATGCTCCCCCTGCCTCTGTGACACAAGCACAGCGTCAGCTGCGCTTATCTCTGCTTTCCCAGAGCAGCCGGGTTACTGGAACTGCTTTCACTTATCAGGGAACAGGGGGACCTTGCTGGGAAGATGGGCTCAAGATGCAGCAGTGTTGATCCTCGGCTCCATCCCAGAGCTCCAGCTCCCTCCAGCCCCTGGGCTCCTGCTCAGTCCTGATAAACCTGGGAGCTGCTGGGGTGTGAAGTTCACATATCCTGGCCATGGCACCCACGGTCCCTGCACTGTGTGTGGCCCAGGGGTCCCAGCTGCTGTCCTCTTGGTGCTCTGAGGTCCCATGGGAGCAGGAGGGATGGCATTGTGCCATGGGGGGATGCTGCACGGTGAGCAGAGGTGCTCTGAGAGCCTGTTTTCAGGATCACTTCAGCTCCTGTGGTCTTCACCCTCCCTGTCCTCCATGTCCCCCTTCCAGGCCATAGCCGTCTGTCCCCAGCCCCATCACACACCCCCCGTGGGGGCCGTGGCTGTTTGCTGCTCTGCTGCAATCCTCCTGGCTCACACTGCTGCTGCTGAGGAAGGGCTGGAGGTGGCTGGCTGGGACGAGCCAGGCAGGAGTGACTGCATTCCTGGCCAGTGGGCCCAGGCTGTCCGGCAGCCCATCGCTGGCTGTTCCTGTGGCTGTCACCCTGGGCGAGTGGCCGGGCAGGGGGGCTGGCAGTGGGCAGCAGCCCCCACTGGTGTCCCTGGATGGCACCTGAGTGTCAGAGGATGGCACATGCAGGGCTGGGATGTGGTACAGCACCTCCACAGAGCCTGTGCCAGCTGGCAGGCCTGGTGGGAAGTGAGCTGCCTTCTGCTGCTCTGTGTGGGTGGTGGGAGTCACAGGGATGGTTGTCACATCCCTGAATGTGACTCTGAGTAAGTTTGCAGCAATGACGTGCCCCAGGATGAGTTAGCTGGAGATGGTGTTTGGTGGAAGGCAGAGAAGAGCTTTGGTGGGGCTGAGGTGCACAGCTCACCTGGATGGTTGTTAAAGTACCTGATCCCTCACTGAGGAGGATGGTGCCAGGGAGAGGGGCATAGCCCAGGCCCTAGAGCCCCTGCAGGTCCTGTGCCAGTGATCGCAGCTCCTCCCAGGCTGTGGGCAGGCGTGGGAGGCATCGTGGAGGCAGAGCTGCCAGGCCCAGGCAGGCAGGGATGCTCCCCCTGCCTCTGTGACACAAGCACAGCGTCAGCTGCGCTTATCTCTGCTTTCCCAGAGCAGCCGGGTTACTGGAACTGCTTTCACTTATCAGGGAACAGGGGGACCTTGCTGGGAAGATGGGCTCAAGATGCAGCAGTGTTGATCCTCGGCTCCATCCCAGAGCTCCAGCTCCCTCCAGCCCCTGGGCTCCTGCTCAGTCCTGATAAACCTGGGAGCTGCTGGGGTGTGAAGTTCACATATCCTGGCCATGGCACCCACGGTCCCTGCACTGTGTGTGGCCCAGGGGTCCCAGCTGCTGTCCTCTTGGTGCTCTGAGGTCCCATGGGAGCAGGAGGGATGGCATTGTGCCATGGGGGGATGCTGCACGGTGAGCAGAGGTGCTCTGAGAGCCTGTTTTCAGGATCACTTCAGCTCCTGTGGTCTTCACCCTCCCTGTCCTCCATGTCCCCCTTCCAGGCCATAGCCGTCTGTCCCCAGCCCCATCACACACCCCCCGTGGGGGCCGTGGCTGTTTGCTGCTCTGCTGCAATCCTCCTGGCTCACACTGCTGCTGCTGAGGAAGGGCTGGAGGTGGCTGGCTGGGACGAGCCAGGCAGGAGTGACTGCATTCCTGGCCAGGCTTGGTGCTCTGCCTGCTCTCCCTGAGCCTGGGGGAAAGCAGGAGTTACACGACCTGGAGTATCTGCCACAGGGATTCACAAAATCCCTATCAGAGTCAGCTGCAGTGGCTGGGACTTGGGAGTGCTGGTCTTGCTGGGATGTGTCAGTGGGGAGCTGGGAGCCTCCATGTCAGATGTAGAAGGAGTGAGGGGGGTGCAGTGTGGGCTCCTGCTGCAGCCGTGGGCACCAGCCCTGCTGCTGCTCCCCAGGCCTTGGCCACAGAGTAGAGCCCAGCGTGTTCCTGCTGCAATGATTTCTATCACACTTGGATGCTAATTTTAGAGAGCCCAAGAGCACGTGACGCATCTCCTGCCCTGCCCGCGTGGTGTTCTCCCTGCAGATCCTTCCTGGCATCCCCTTCTCTCATGACTGGTCCTGTGCTTCTCCCGTCGCTCTCCGTGCGTGATTCAGAGCGAGGAAGCACAGGGCACCTGTCACCCGCCCGCTCCCAGCACCGCTGCCCTGCCAGCCTTCCTGCCCCTTCCCGCTGCGCCATCCCCACCTGACCATTCCATAGGGGAGGAATGAGCCTCGGAAAGGGGGCAGAACCAGGTGCTCCCCTCCCACCCCTCTCCTCACCGCCCTGCTCTTTTCCCACAGGAGCGGTTTGTGGACCTGTATGGGAACGATGCTGCTGCCGAGGTGAGGAAGGGCCAGGAGACCTTCAACAAGTGGCTCCTGACCGGGGCGACGGTGGCGGGAGTGCTCCTGCTGGGATCCCTGCTGAGCCGCAAGTGACCCCGCCAGCCCCCCCGCCGGGACGGCCGCGCCACCCCCTTGCCACATACCCCCCCCGACTGCCCCTGCCCGTGTGTTTCCGAGGCGCTGAGGCCGATGCAGCACTTCAACCAATGTCTCCCGGTGCCTGGGGGGTGCAGGCGGCCGGGGGCAGCGCTGCCTAGAAGGTGTCCCAGCCCCGCAGGGTCCTTAGGTCACTTTGAAATGAATAAACAGACTTATTTTTGCATGTGTGAGTGCGTGCGTGTGTGTAGATGTGTCACTAATATAAGATTCCCCAGCCAGAGCAAGGGTCCAGGCTCCGTGTCCCCGTCCCTGGGGACAAGGCAGGCTGCCCAAGGGGATGGGGCGTCCCTGTGGCATCCCTGTCCCGTCCCTGCTTCCTTCTGGGCAGAGCTCATCCCTGTGGAGGAAGACAGGGGTCAGGATGCCCTCGTGTCACCCCCTCGAGCTCCTTTGTCCTGAACAGCAGCCACTGGGAACTGAGGCTGCTCTCAAGGGGGTATGATGATTTGTCAGGCCCAAGTTGAAGGGATCTTCCTCCTCCTCTTCCTCCTCCTCCCTCTGAATGTAGATTGCAGGGCCCCTCCCACCCCATGTGCACCCCTCCAGGCAGGAAAGGCAGGAGACAAACGAGGGGGGGTGAGTTTTCCCCAGCCCCCCCACCCTGCTACAAGGGGCTCTGCGGGGAGCCGGGGGGTGGAAGGAGCAGGGGGGAGCGATGGGTGCTCCTGCCAGTCCCAGGGAAAGGCAGAGCAGCCCCTTCATGGCCAAGCCCTGGAGACAGAGCTCTGGGAAGGCCAAAGTGAGGGCTGGCACTGTCCCCACCACCAGGACACCCCTTTAGGGACAACGGGAGCCACTGGCCCCTCCTGTCCTGCCCGTCCCCACAGTGCAGGCAGATCCCTGTCCCCGTGGCGTGGCTGTGACGGGTGCGTGCAGTGGCAGAGGTGTCTGGCTTCCCCTTCCTGTGCCGCCGGAGTGCGGGACCTCCGGGCTTTGAGCTGAAATTAGCTTCCAAAATAACCCCTCGTCCTTCAGAGCCCACTCCAGCTGATCCCCCAAGCCCCCCACCCCCCGCGGGTCTGGCTGTGCCTACACGCACCCCCCGCGCTCTGCTGTACATATCCGAGTAGGTTTTAATTCCTTTTTTTTTTTTTTGTGAATACTCTTAAT